TAATTGTAGTGGGAGCTGTGGAGAACCCCCCCAGAACTGGACTGCATTCCTGTAGTGGGGTGGATTAGAATCAATCAACCATAGAATATGTGGAATTTAGAGACAAACGTATGTCAATGGCAAGATGTCTGACTTCACTGAACCCCCATGACTACGCCTTTCACCAAAAAGTCTTTGTGCTTGAAAGCAAGCTTCTTATCTGTGTTCTGACACAATTTGTTGCTGATTAGGTCAAGAGGATGAGACATGGAGCATTCCAAACAAAAAAAGGTCACTTCCTGTTGTCAGGGGGTGGGGCTTTGATGATGTCATATGACCATATGGTATGGTCAGACATGGATGACTCAAACYWAGTCTGGTGTATTTTAACCTTTCTATGTGAACGTTACAGCTGTCTGAAATAGTGACAGCCCGTCTCTGTAACRAGGACAAAAATACTGCAYGAGTGGAAATTTAGAGCTAAAGGCTAAACTGACTGCTGGTAGCTGCTGTAAACTGTCCCCACAAATGTAATCTGTTAAATATTGTTTTAATGTTTTCAAATAAAACATTTGTACTCAGGCTGCACTGGAGGTGCTACAGCTAGCTGCTGCTGCACATATTTGCTCTTGCAGAAATCCCCTGTGTGTAAATAACTAATAATAAGAAACTAGAGGTTGTATAAAGATTTGTAGAATTATGTTTGAATGACTGAAGGATTGGAGCAGTTTTAGGAACGATCCACTTTGGTCTTGGCTGAGTTCAGATGTAAGTTCATCAGTTGTGTCAGAACTAAACTGTATTTCTCTAAACTTATGTAGTCATTAAAACCAAAACACATTATTCATAACGTGCCCACAGAACCCCACTTTAATATGATTAAAAAATTTAAGAGCAGTTTAAGGTGTTTTAAAAAGCATAGAAAATCAGAAACATTTGAGTAAAAAGCRTGAAGGTTACCTTCTGTTGTGTCTGCAGGACTTCCACGTGTGCGCTTCATGTGTGGGCTCACCGAGGTGCTGAAACCAGAGCGCTGGGTGTTCAAGTCTGCTGGTGGGATCTTCTTAAGCCGACAGCAGCTGCCTGTCAAACTGGCCTGGGCCATCTCCATCCACAAGAGCCAGGTGAGGACRACCTCAGAGCTCAGACACAACCCACTTTATCTGCAATCGTTTCATTCATTCTGTCCACAGGGACATGTTGAACTCAGGTGTTTCCTGTAATCAGCATCACAKGTGTCTTCAGACTGTAATCAGTCAGTCTGATTGTTTAAAGGCTGACMGGTAGTCACAGGACTGTTCAAAGGCTGTTTTAGACTGATCTATTTTCTTGTCTGAGGTTAAATGATTTTCAGTCCCGGGGTTCAGTTTCATCATCGTTCGAGTTTAAACAATAAAAACTCAAACTAAAATAAAAACCTAACAGCGTGTTCAGATGCTCCTTACATCCAAAAAACACAACAGAGTCATATTTCTGTGGATTCAGGTCAGATTCATGACTTTGTGAGTTAAAACGGTCGACTGAAAAACTTTGTGTGTCTGACGCACATTCTCACGGCAGATACGCAC